TAATGTGCTCCCACAAACGCCACCAGCTACAGTCCTAATTCAGTCCCAACAAACTGAATGTTGTGCAAAGAACTTTCCAACTTCTAATAAGCATAAGAGGAAGCCAAAGATTGTGCTGACATTCCCTTGTGACAGTAACTGTTAAAACACAAGAAGAACAAAGCAAGCACTAAACTACACAAATAATCTAGCTCAACTATAAATTCTGCATTTACAAAGTTATTAATCTTCATCTGCTATTGACACTGACAGCGGATTTTTAGTTAAACTATTTACTTGTGATGTACTGTGGCATTGTATGTAACAGGATTTAGGCCAATTGGGTACATAAGTTTGTCTTGTTGTAATGAATTACAGGCAAATATAGTTTACATCTGTGGCACTTGTGTTGTCTGAAGTGTCATACAGACTTGCTGAGGCCAGACTTTCCATGAAACCTAAGGGTACAATAGAGCACAACATCATTTTCCTGTGTAGTATACAACTTGAACTGGACTTCACCTGTAGAATAAAAACTTTTATTATGCATCAGGTAATATTTATGTATTTTGATCCCAGCAGTGAATCTTTAGTCTATTCCAAGGAACTGAAGAAGACTAAGAGCAGAAGAGAGGTGATTATGTTCAAGTAAGGGGATATCTGCAGAAAACAGTGGTTCTTTTGACATAGTAAACTAAGTAAGTAAAGTTTATTTATACTTTATAGAGCTTTTCATAGACATAAAAGTCTCAATGCACTGTACAATAAAAAAAAAAAAAAAAAACACTTAATACCAATAGATACATGCACCAAGACATAGCTGTAGGGTTAAAACACTGTATATTACTATCCAAGAATATTGATTTTAACACATACAGTGATGTAATGTCCTTTCATTTAAATAATAATACTAATAATACTACAAACTTAAAAATCACCACTAGAAACATGAACACTCAAAAAGTGCAAACCTCCACCAAGGCAGCTCATTTTCTTTATCTTACATATATTTCATTTGTTCTTTTTAAACATACTTTGGAAATTGTATGTTTTTATTTCCGTAAAAAGAAGTGCAAAGTGCCGGCTTTTATTATTCACCCTGTGGAAACCCATTTTAATGTACTTGACATTATTTTGATTATAGTTCTTGTTTTATTATTTTTTACTTCTGTGGTTATGTGGCATTCAGTTTATTGTTTAATAAAATTCACTTAAATGTTTAGTGAAAATATAAAAAGAAAAATGTTTTGGATGATCACAAGTTTATTTTGTTTTCCAAAAAATAAGACTAAAAATGCTTATTCAGAAACATTTTGTATGTTTTCAAACTATAAAGTATTTAAATGTTTGTAACCTGTTACTGTAATGTATATAACAAAGTCATAATACAACAAACACTGTGTAGGAGTAGGAAATAGATAATAGGTTTAATTTGACAACAACTGGACATGAATAAACTGAGCTTATTATATATTATTACACTACAGTATATGTCTAACTGATTAGGCAGCTCATTCTCTTGCTCTTGACAATACTTTCGTCAAAGATATAACACGTTTTGGGGCAAAATTGAAAAAAACAGACAGATATGACAGGACAAATGTGACATGATATTTGGATGCAAACTATAATGTAATATTTAGAATCCCCATAAATCACTCTAATATTGCCAATATAAACATTTTTTTAAAAGATAAAAGACATATTATGAAAGCTTGACCTAATTAAAGTTTACTTAAAGAAAACATCAGTGGTCCAAAGCAACGTGATATTAAGAATCCTCATAAATCCTTCCCTATATGCCTATATGCTGTCGATATAAACAATGGAAGTAAGAAACACAATTTTAAATAGCTCTGTATAGCATTATTATCACTTTGACCTTCAGATCAATTTATTAACCTTGAAGGAGATGTCAGAGGTCAGATGTAACATGATATCTTAAATCTTTATATGGTACTTTTTATATGTTAATGATACATACCACACATGTAGGAATCGTAGTTTATACGTTATAAGGGTTTTTTGGTCAATTTATGACTCATAAATCGTGAAGTTGACCTTGATGACTTTGGTGGATGTGCGCCAAATTTTCATAGGTTGTTAACATGCCCCCACTCTACGGCTCTTTAAAGTTTTAGCAGAATTCATTGAAAATTTCTCGAGCCATCGTGTTTACAGACAGAATGACACTCGTGCACGCACGCAAAACTGACAAAGCATAACTTCCTTAGTGGAGGGAATAATTGTATTCTGCAAGAAAAATACAGTCCTGATGTGACAGTAAACACTATTCTGCCCTTCTTGAAGGACATAGCAATGTGGACGGTGATTACCAGGTAAGAGCTGGTATTAGATGTTGCTTTAAACGCTGCTGCTGTCACCTCTTCTTAACACAGAGTTTTTGGTAGGATTGATACTATTTGTTGTAGGCCCTTTTTAATGATTGCCAGCAAGCAAAAACACAATTAGTGTTTCAGAGTAAAAGAAAACATAACTCACAGTGCAACATTATTGTTATATGTGTACGTAATAGGGCCATTAACATTCAGCCTAGATAACTTATTAATACCTCAATAAATCAAAGATGTCTTCTTCTAATTAGATTTTAAAACAACATGGCATAGCATCTTACACAGATCCAAAAAAAAATGCAATTAAACAAATATGTTTTAGTATTCTGTGCTGTCTCATTAGGACTTATAACAACAAAATGATCCCCATGATGGAAAGACTGGATCTGAATATAATGTTTTTGTTTGCAAAGGTAGAAAGTTTTCTTTGTCCCATCAAAACATTAAGACAATCAAACTCTTCACAGAACAACTGCTGACTATTCAAATGCTTACATTGAAACCCATACAATGAGAAAATGTAAAATACTGATAACTATTGTTTAAAAACACAAAGATATTTTAGTTTTTTACGATTAACGTGTAAATATTGTCCCACATATCAGAAGGTTTTGTATGTACCTGAATGGTGAACGCTCTTTGCTGCCTCCTGTAGTAGAATAAATCATACAGGCTGTGCCAGAGGTAGGAAAGAATCAGACACATGCTGTTGACTAGCCAGATATCCCAGAATGTGACAAAGTTGTCCATGGCTTTCACTTTACCCTTCATCCTTCCTTTTCCGCCTCGCTTTGCCTATATTTAACTACAAACGGCCTTTGAAAGCTCAAGGAGGAGTCTCTCAAGTGAAGCTGATGAGCGTATACTTTCTCAGGATAAGAGCTGCCAGGACATTAATGCTACTTTACCTCCCGCAGCCTCTTTTAATTCAGCCAAGGGTCCTACTTCAATCAGCACTTGCAGCTAAAGGAAGGGCAGTGTGTCCTCATGACAAAAGAGTGACAGGTGCCAGCAAAGGGTGTCTGGGAGATAAGCTCTCTCTCACGCTGTCCAGTCACTCCAGCTGTATTAGGAATCGACCTTTTTTAAATTTTCTATATCACTTTTGTCCCATTGATCTCCACTTTAAAACTGAGAATCACAGAATGAAGAAAAACTAAATTAAATCAGCACAGCATTGACTCTGAAGAGTGAGAGAATTGTTATGGGTTTCCAGCTTGCTGTCAACACAGACCCAGTGTAAACCAATAGCCTGTGCTATGCAATTCCCACTGCAAATGTCACAAAGACTATTACATGAAGGATTAGACTCAATGATTCCAGCTGTATCAGTTTCATATATAATAATTATTAAATGACACTACAAATGAACTTCTAATCAGTACTTCATGGTGGCTCTGAAGAGCTTTAAGCTCAGCACCATATCTTCAGTATATTGTGCAATAAAGACGTGTGTGAAAGGTGTGTGAATATATATAACCACAATCCCAAGAATGTATTATCTGGCTAAGAGTGGTCAGTCACAGCTACACAGCTATGTGTAGCATGTCTGGAAACCTCCTCTGACTTGACCAGTCATTCTGCCAAACACAACACAGAGCTCACTTTTGGCTTCTGGGTGGAGGCATGTCTAAGATTGCTTCTTACAGACAAGACAGAGAAGTGTTGAGGCACATTAGTTATTGGTTTGTTTTTTTGGTTTTTTTTAATATTATTACTATTATTAATATTGTGTTTTATTTTTAATATTTGATCAACTGGAATTCCTCAATTTACTGAGGTCAGATTTAAGTTTCTTTTCCCCCCCCAATGTATTTCAAATGTTTTGTAAAATTATAACAAGTGTTGCTGATTATGTTATTTCAGGATACTGATAGACATTGATCCTGAATATGAGATCTTAGAAGTTTATCATTTAAACTTATGAACTGTGAATTTTCGCAGTGGTGTATTTTTACTGATACAGTTCAATAAACATTTTCTCCATTATAGATACAATTAGATAAAGATGAAGGACAGTTAAATTGGTCATTTAAAAGACATTTAACTGGAAATAAAGAAAGCACATTCAGAATTTACAATAGAGAAATTATTAGAGAATTATTTGAATAGCGAAAACTTGCTGAAAACTTAAAATGCTTGTTCCCACAGTCTTGCAAAACCACAGCCACAACTTGCATGCCTGGGGGCATACAGGTCCTCCCGACTTTTCAGAGGAATTCACACTTTCAAACAAACAGCTCCACAAGACTATATGATTAACTTCACCGAGGTTCTTTTACTTTGACATAAAGCTACTTACAAACATCCTGGCACAGATACCCTTCACCCTGAACTCTTACAAAACAATTAAAAAATAATTAGAAATAAAGAGGGATAGAGAAGCTAAAAAAAACTGTGTGGTTCACCTTTTAAGTCCCAATTTTATTTTTTTTATTTTTTTTATAATTAGGTTCTGACTTTTTTTTTTTTAAACCTATCGACACAATGTGCTTTCCTGGTGACGGACTGTCTAATCGGCACGTAAACGCACACAGGAACGTAATCCGAAAACTCGTCTAGAAAGGCAAAATGTTCATTAAAAATGTTTTTAAATCTACACACCACACCACAGCTGGTTAAAAAGAAAAAATTAATCATTAAAAATGAATACGTCAAAAGGTCAACGCCTTGTTTTGGTCACGTGATCAAAGGTCCAGCGTTTAGCGGGAACCAACATGGCGAACGAGAAGACAGCTGCAGCACCAGACTCGGTGCAATGTCCCGTTTGTTTTAAAGACTTCACGTCCGCCACAATCAACGGACATCTGGATATATGTCTGCTGAAAGGCGTTACCGACAGCAGCCCGTCCACAGCAGACGAGAGCGGACCTCCCGTAAAGAAATCCCGCACTGGTCCCGAGGCTATCATCAAACCTGCAGCCAGCTCCTCCTCCGTGGCCAGCGCGCAGTCACCGGGGATGTTTTCGCTGTTTCAGAGCAACAGGGGGAAACCTCCGGTCCAGACTGAACGGAACGGTTTGTTTGTCGGTAAACAAAGTCCTGGCAGTGCTGCCAGCAAGGGGGTGAAACGTTTACTGAACGAGGAGGCGGATCTTGGAGCGGCAGGTACAGAGACTTTGAGGAGTCAGCAGCCCGCGCCTGCATCCAGCGGGCAGGGCTTGAAAACGGCGAAACGTCTGTCACCGCGGACGTTACTTGCAGTAGACAAACCTCTGGCGGAGGTGCTGAGACCAGAAACGCTGGAGGAATACTTTGGGCAAAATAAAGTTGTAGGAGAGCAAAGTCTCTTCCGGCCATTTCTTGACTCCCAGGAAATACCGTCGCTGATCCTCTGGGGACCCCCGGGATGCGGAAAGGTGTGGAGGTGACCCAGTATGATGCTGCATCTCTCCCCAGCTTTGCTTAGTATTTTCCTGCCGTTTGATATGTGATGGTTAAAACACCTTATTGCCACTGATTCAGCTCCCCTCACTTTATTTGTGGGGGACAAATTAAAGGAAAAACCTGTATCCTTCACCCCTAAGATGATAACCGGGCGGTATTATTGGGTCAATTCCAAAGGTCATTATAAATCAATGCAAAGTATTTCTGCATGATCACTTTTTATGTCTTATTGTAAAGGAGGCGATGAGTTTCAAAATTAAGTGAATAACGTGCTGTGCTGTTTTGTCCTTGTCCTATGCCACGCTCTCCAAACACCAACCGAGATGACTAAAGTCAGACGTGTCGCATCATTTATTAAAGTTTTCCTTTGATTTGTCATTAATGATACCCCGAACAATAAGTCATCATCTGCTCTCGGCAACTAGTACTCAGAATTGAAGATGCTTGAACCGACTGAGTTCTAATTTCTAAAAAAAAAAGAAAAAAAAGAAAAGAAAATCAGGGATATTGAACAAAAACTTGTACTTTAAAAAATGTCATTATATAAAATTATCACATGTTAATGTACAGTATAACCATATAAATATTTAACACTCTACCTCATCCATATAGTGCTTTAAAAGTGTTTTTTTAAATATAACTTATACAGTCTCATCTATTCAGGGATTCTTAAAGCTCTACTCTGATTGTTCACACAAAAAATATTTTAATTTAAGAAGCTTTTATCAGTTTTCTTTTAGTAATATGGCAGTTTTCTGTTGAATTAATAATCCACAAATTGCTGAAATTATTGTGGGTAAGAGAAAAAAAATGATTGTGATTAATTATTCGAGTGCAAATTTCTTATATTCTAATAATTACAGTCTCAGTTCTGGCATGAAACTTGGGGCTTGTCCATTTTGCACCTTTTTTCTTGTATGTTTTTAAATAATTATTGTCTAGATTAATGCTGAATATCCAATACAGTGGATTTAAGTGAATTTTCAGCTGTGGTACTCTTTGTTGTATTCAAGTAGAACTTTTATGTCGTGTTGAAAGAGTGAATGATGGCGTCTGTGGCTGCTCGGTTGGTGGTACAGCTTGTTAATGACTCCTTAGGCATGTTGAGCTGCCAGCGTGGCTCATTGAGCAGTCACTCGCCATTCCCAGACTTTGTCGGCATGCTTTTCTGACACCTTATCTCTTCTTTGACCCTCCTGTCGACTGCTTTGCCGCAGTCAGGTTTCCTCATTGAATAGACGAGTCACAAAATCAGCTCATTTAACTTGATTACACATCACAGAAACTTCTCGATGAAAGCTGCATTACATGTTCTGCCTGTGAGTTTACGTTAAATTACCCTCCATGTGGCTGGCTGTATTTCAGACCACTCTAGCCCACATCATTGCCAGCACCAGTAAGAAGAAGGGGACGGCTCGCTTTGTAACTCTGTCCGCCACCAGTACATCCACCAATGAGGTCAGAGAAGTGATAAAGCAAGCGCAAAACGAGCTCCGACTGTGCAAGAGGAAGACCATCCTGTTCATCGATGAAATTCACCGCTTCAATAAATCCCAACAGGTGAGGAGGTATTTTAGAGCAGAAAGTTGTACTCTGCTTGTTGCAGACTTTTTTTTTTTATGTTCTTCCCCCTGCCAATAAGATTGTATATCAGCACGAGTGTATATGTATGTATAAACAGCTTACGGGACCATCTTTATCCCTTCAAAAACAGCACGAGTTCTCCAGCTCATGTCTTTGATCTATTGGAAACATACATTTTTGGGGTTTCGACTGATAATAATAAGTAGAAACGATTTATTTACATTTTGTCTCCTAATTCATTGGTAGGACACCTTCCTTCCACATGTGGAGTGTGGCACAGTCACTTTGATTGGAGCGACCACTGAGAATCCATCCTTCCAGGTGAATGCTGCCCTACTGAGCAGGTGCAAGGTGCTGGTTCTGGAGAAGCTGTCTGTGGAGGCAATGGGCTCGATCCTGAACAGAGCTGTGGCCACACTTGGGATCAGAATCCAGGGCCAAGATTCGACAAACCCCAAAGATGAAGACCAAACAGATGGACACAGGTAGGTTCCCACAAGCTCCTCGACTGTAGTGTCACACGTGACCAAAAACCTCACTGTCTTTGTAATCCTCACATAGTGGGTATCGGAAGATGGAGCCACAGCAATAGTCTCAGCTTTGGTTTTGTTTGATAGTTTGACAGATGAGGTTCAGCACGAGCTATAATCACCTGTTAGCTGCCAGCTGATGATTGCATATAATCTACTATCTGTTTAAGGTAGATTACACAAATCCATCGTTTTAGTTAATTATTTTTTTATGGGGGAAAGTAAAAAAACAACATTTTGACAAAACTGATGAAATCATTTTGCTGCCAGTCAGAGTGACTTATATCAAGATGTTTTTGAGATGAGCGCTGGTTAAAACAGAATAGCATAAGACTGAGAATATTCATGATGAAAGGCATTTAAGCATTATGTGTTTTTTATTTTTTCAATTTTATTCCATATTAAACAGTAGAGGCACTGATACAGTGTATATTTTTAATCTTTTTAGACCAAAGATTTACATTCAGCAAAAAGCCCTGGACACCATGGCCTACCTTTGTGATGGCGACGCAAGAGTCGGGCTCAATAGTCTCCAGCTGGCTGTTCAGGCTCAGATGTCCAAAACAAACCTCTTGGCACCCGACGCTTCTCCTCAAGAGATACTAGTGACAGAAGAGCATGTTAAAGAAGGTCTCCAAAGGTCCCACATTCTCTATGATAAAGCTGGTAAGCGCAGATGTACTCACATTGTCATTTTAGCATCGACGCTCCTTTCTTTTAAGTTCCTTTTATCAAAGCTGGTCTTTTGGGTGTCACTATGTGCAACTAGGCCTGATTAAATATTCCAGCTCATAACACTGTGACCCATGCTTGCATCATCCTCACCCTCTGTTTTCAATTGTATTTCCAATACTCTTACATGGAATCCTGTTTATGTGGAAAATGTTTTTGCAGGTGGGACCAAGAGGCAGAAATTACCGGCCTCTTGCCTCTAATTTCTTATTGAAACTGTTAATTTTTTACTTCTGTTTTGCTGGAAAACGTCACCAGAGGTCCTGGGATAACGGTTGTTTCAATAAAAGAAGAGGCTTTGTCTTTAAGGATGTGGGCAGCACTAGGCAGCACAAATCGCTCCATACTTTACAAATCCACATTTTTTAAATTCCTCTCGGCAGCGTCATTTATAGCACTCGTCATGAGTACTTTCATGCTTTGAGCTTAACAGCTCTATCATATTACGCCCCAGTGTCTTTGATCACCGTTATATAACGGGGACAAACCTTATTTCTTGCGTTTCTTCGCCCCTGCTAGGTATTTAAGTGTGCTGTGTGTTTCTTGTGAGTGCAGTGCAGGTATTTTAGCTGAGCGTCAGAGCAGCGTGTGCTATTCATTCATACCAGATTCATAAAACGAAGCGCTTTGAGACTTTTTTTTTTTTTTATTGCATTCATAGCTAACTTGATGTTTTTGCTCATTACAATAACTTATAAGGCCCGCGTTTACCTATAATCAGTGCTTTTTTTTTAGTCTGCTGTAGTTTTAGCTGTTCTTATCACCTTTGCTCATCATGTACAGAACTCCTCAGACTCATTAGTCCTCCACACTGTCCTGTTACACAACACGCAGCTGTCCCAAAAGATGGAGATTTACTGTTCCCTGCTTCACTGGGAGATGAAGCCATCATTCAGCTTGACTAATGACTTTAATGGAGACGGTATTCATCTATTTTTGCCTGATCAGTCCTTGTTTTTGTTTTTTTTTAGATAAGGTCATTTTTTTCAGTATGTAATGACCTTCAATCTCTTGGTTTGAAAATTGCTGATGGAATGCCACCTGAAGAAAAATCTTCTTATCTGTTAGAAACATTT